GCCTTTCTTTGCCACTGCAGCACACTGGTCACTCATGTTGAGACTGTTATCCACCCAGACCCCCAGGCCCCTTTCCACAGAGCTGGTCTCCAGCCAGGAGGATCCTAGTCTGAACTGCACTGCTGGGTTATGTGTTCCCAGGTGCAAGACTTTACACTTCTCCCTGTTGAATTTCGCAAGGTTCCCCCTAGCCCACTCCTCCAGCCTGTCCAGGGCATCCTGGAGGGTAGCTCTCCCTTCTGGAGTGCCAGCCTCTCCACTCATCTTGGTGTTGTCAGCAGACTTCTTCAAGGTGCTCTTGATCCCAACATTTAGGTCACTTATGAAGATGTTAAACAGCATTGAGCCCAATATCAATCCCTGGAGCATCCCACTTGTGACTGGTTGTCAGCTTGAGGAGGAACTATTTACAGTGCTACTCCTTCACCTCTTCTCCCCTGCCTGTCTATGAAACAGCCTTTAGCTATCTATCATGATCCTCCAGTCGTGTGAATTGTCCCACCATATTTCAGTTATTCCTATGATATCATAGTTATCTGACTGGGCACAGAGCTCCAATTCTTCCTGCTTATTTCTCAGACTGTGTTTGTATACATACACTTCAGGAGGCTTTTGGTTCTCACTTAAGGAGACAGCTGAGGCACGTTTTACACTACTCTGGCTGTCCTTGTTTATTCCGCAGTAGGTTTTAGTGGTTTGTGTTGTGTGATCACTGCAATTTTGGATCCCTCCCCCTGGTACTGGTGTGCTGCTCCCAAACTCCTCTCTAGAAAGCCCACTTTTACCCCCACCCCCTCATAATACTGCACAGTGCTTCAGGAAGTTTAACACTTCTTCTTGTGACACTACTGTTTTGCTGAAGTTTGTGACTGGAAACACAGAACATGACCCAACATTTTTTTCAGAAATATATGTTTGCAACAGTATAAAGCTTTTTATTCTACCACTTGTAAATAGTCAAACTGCTGACAATCTACCCAAAGCTTTAGTGCCAGCTTTACTGTGCCATTAAAGTACACATGACTAGGCACTGCCTTCCAGCAAAATAGATTAAAAATAAATAAATACATCTATAATTTGTTTCCCTATTTCTTCTTTTATTTTTCTCCCTTTTTAAAATGTGTTTTGCACTTCACCTCTTTCATCCTTTACAGGATTTTGTCTCCATGGATTTTTTAAAATTTGCATTACTTCTGTTATTCTTTCAGTATTTTTCCTTTATGAATAATTATTTTTCCCCTTCTATATTTTCCAGCTGTAGAATTGAAGTCTCTGCATACAAAATAAAACAAGAGAAATAAACCTATCTTTGTTACTTATTGCTAAAGATTCTTATGAAATAAGGCACAAAACCACACTCCAGGTGAAGTAGCTACCAACAAGAGCAAGTCACCCTTTCAGACATGTAAGAGTCTTAAAGGAGGAAACTCTTTTGAAAACAACCTCTTGCTGGCAATTTCAGTAGGTACGTGTCAGGAATGATTTCTAAACATTAGGAAACTGAATTAAAAAAAAAAAAATAATCTTCTCATTGCAGAGGATTTGAAAGGCATGACTGATTGCAGAACGAGCACCCCACCCCCTTTTAATTAATGGGACTAGTCACACAATAATTAACATGAATGAGCTTTTGCAAGATGTATGTTGTGTGCATGTCAGTGGGTAAGACAAGTCTGTGGAGACTGTTCCTTTATTATGGACAGAATTAATTTATTGCAACTTAAAACACCAGTTAGAGTTTATTAAATGTACTTAACTATCCTGTTGAAAATTAGAAAGAAGAGTGAAGGGACTGAGAATAGAAATTATTAATTCCTATTACTCATTTACTTCTTAGGGATTAAGGCAGGGGTTCTAGAGAAATAATACTTGAATTGTAGACAGAGGTGTTCAAAGAAATTTGATTTGACATACAGTCTTCCTGTTCATGAATAACCATTGATTTCTTACAGGAAGTCACCAGATGCCCACCCAGCCTTTCTATCCCTTCTCCTCAGCAGGACAAAAAATATGATTAAAACCTCAAGATAAGGACAAGGAAGTCACTCAGTAATTGCAGTCAGAGGCACAAGACGACTCAACTTGGGCAAGATGCACCTGGGTCAGGGTACTCCCAATCTCCTACTGTGCTCTCTACTATTCATCTAAAACAAACATGTTCTATTTCTTGTTAGAATATGTACTGCATCCACAGCAAGTATTGCAATGACATTCAAAAGCCTCATCTACTTACTATATACTACTTAGGGTATATTATGCATTTCGTGCTTCATGCTAGTTTTATTTGAATTTGTGTAGTTTAGATTTTTCCATAATCATTAAATCTAAATAGACAGATGAAGTTTCTTCTCTCCCCTTCAACCTTCAGCTTACCTTGGAGAGTTGCTTAGTTTTAGCTTCAACTTGTTGCTTTTCTTCACTCCCAGTGTTTATCCACACTTGTACTTGCTACAAAGTTGTGGTCAACCCAAATGCAAGGTTCTTAATTACTTCTGCCCACCTTGGTTACACTGAGTGCATTACCTTTGTCTGGTAGAAATCTGGCAATAGATTTTTATTTTTTTTTAAATGGGTTGTAAAAAGAAAAAACACCAAATTGCCACATGATGTATTTTTATTTTTTTCAGTTAAATGCCCTGGAGTCATAAAACAGAATACATTTTCTAATCTTGAAGCCAGCAAGATTGGGAAAAAAAAAAGAAAAATTGAACCTGGTTTTCCTACATGTAATTTCCATACTGAGAATACATTCAGAGAAAAAAACCCCTAGAATTAAAGTGTAAGCAGACATTACTTATGCAGCTCTCTTCTTAAAATTAAACTGGACATGTCATCCAACTCATATGGTGCTTTGCTAGTATAATATGCTACAACAGAATTACTCAAATGCAACTATGCAGCTTTTCTATTACCTAAGACCTTTCCATTTCATTATGTTGCAACACCATTGTTATTTACTTCACACTCCATTAACATACTACAGAACAATCTTTTCTCCTTTTCTGGTGGCTTGTTCCTCAGAATGGGAACCCTTACTGTGTCTTCCTTTGGAAACACGAAGCACTCAGTTTCAGATATTAAAAATATTCTAAGCATTTCAATATACATTCACAATCAGACTAAGCCTCCATTTTCCAAGTTAAGAGTCTCATGACCTGCTAGTAAACTAATGGAAAGAGCTGGTTGGTATTTACTCCTGTTCTCATTAATGAGAACATGATCTGGACATCTGTAATGCCTCATAAATGCCCTCATCTGTTGGTTAGCTGAGTGTGCACCACCATATCCTGCACAAGAATTACAGTAACTTGAAGTCTGGGTTCTCTCACAATATTCATGGATAGACCAAAATAACCATATAACTTTTTAAACAAATAACACTTTGAAGAATGAAGTATACATAACACTTATGTTACAAGTGTCTGAAAAACATTGGCTCAATCAACATTTTGACTCACTGTGTTAATAAGGAAAGTAAACAGCAGTACTTTTGGAAAAGTATTCAAGTATTTCCCTGATATACCATCTAATGAAAAACAAATAGTAAACTTTGTATGACTGTACTTTGAGCAAATACCAGTTGCAGTGCTTTCTGTCACATAGAACTGTGTGAACAGTACTTTGTAGCAAAGATATAGCACACCATTTTGATATTAGACAAAACCGGAATGTAATTTCAATAGAAAAAAACCCAATCATTTATAACAATTTTCAAGTGCTTCAGTAACAAACTGACAAATCATCATGGCTTACACAGAGAAATACATTAGAGACATGAAACTAGCACAGGATGAACGACAGAAGTGCCAATAAATATACATGAATAGAGAATCATCAGCTATTCAGACAAAAATAAAACAACATTAAAGAGAACTACACACTTAAGACAAAAGAGAGCAGGGGCTAATTTCTGATCTTCAAATAGGAATAAATATTTCCAAGAAGGACAAAATTTAGTCCCAAGCCTACACACACGTGTCACAATACACAAATCCATGCACAACTTAAATAGTCACTTCATAGCTATACATGATAGTCCAATGTTTTTGCTATAAAAAACAAATCAGCACAGTGAATTCATGATTTATCAGATGCCAGTTTCTTCCCTTGACATCAAAAACCAAATTTTGTTTCATATTCAGTTAAATATACACTATTTTAAAAAAAAACTTCCCATCATCAAATCGTATGTTTAAACTTAACATTCCAGCATCTTATTTTGTGAAGATATTTTAATGTATGTAGTCGAATCTCCAAAGAATTGTGTACTGAAGAGGGAAGCATTTAATTTCTTAATTTTAGATATTTTAAAAAAATAAAATAAAAACTTGCTGGTGTTTCAGAAGGTGTTTATGTTTTCCTTTGCCTGTGCCTGCCTGGTATTATATCCTTGCAAGTTGCTTGCAACACATTTCAGTTACAGTGTGTGGTATTTGGTATCATCCAGTCATAAAACCCTTTATAACCCCAAAAAGCATCATGCAAGGAAGCCTTTATACAAAGAGTATGTAGGATAAGGTATGATTTGTATACTGATGTGCTTCTATCTTTCAGAGTATTTCTAAACTCTTAGTGTTATTATTTAAAGCCAGGAATGTGTGTTTGAATTGCATTGATAAGTTGCAAGGTATAATCAGAATTTTACTAAGAAAAAGATGCAAATGACAACACTGTTGTCCAGCATTTAAGTCACATGCAGCTACTTAACAATCCCAGCAGAAAACATCTTCTCAGACACTGAAAATACCTTGTCTTGGTATCTTTGTTTGATGACAATGGAAAGCCCAATGTTTTCTAACATTTACATATTAATTGCAACACAACAGCTAAATTAGCTCTCTAGAAAAAGCACAGAGAACTTATAATTGTGAATACATACACACCAATCCTCCCTTTCTAACATAACTTAAGATTACATTGCTCCAAGACTTTCATGTCTTTCACTGTGCTTTCATGATTACAACATTTAAAAAAAATGACACAATGCAGTAAGATGTCTAAAATTATACAGAAGCCATTAAAAAAAAACACAACTCAAACTAATATTTTAAAAAAAACCTTGTCAATTTGACTAAAATGCATATTTACTCAATTTCCTTGAGCTTTTATTTTTTCTTCTCCCCATTGGAGGAACAATGTCTATAGTAACTGTTCAATGCCACTCTGGCTGCAGGCAGCTTTGTCTTTACAGTTTTCCTCGATTCCTCTTGCAAATAGTTTCATCAACTGGCAGTGAACCCTGAAAAATATGGAAATAAATAGGAAATAAACAGGTACTACATATTTAATTCTAATAAACCATTAATTTCAAGCAGTTGGACAAGTTCCTTGCAACAGACTACAGAAACTGTACTCTGCAAAGAAGACTGGATGCTTCCTTGCATCCATCACTCCTGTTACTCCTCTTTTCCACACAAAAAAGTTCGATAGACACTTAAATGAGCAGATCTTAAACAATACACAGTATTTATAAAAGTCACTTGCTTCTGCTAAGTGATTATGTGGTCACAGAACACACTTGCATGTGTGTTTTTTGACTTGTGGTGTTGTTTCCTGTTTAAAAAAAATAAAAATAAAAAAAAAAAATCAACAAAACCAAAACCCTAAACAAAAAAGAAAAAAGTCCTTCAAATTTCACAAAGCTTGATTCCCTTCTAAATTCAATTATTTGCAAAACTTCAAACTTTCTCCATATGCCAAGGCTGGAGATATGACTTTGTGCTGTGTGTCAAAAAACACAAAGTGGCATATTTCTCTATGACAAAGATACCTACTTAAAGCTTAATAGGAAAAGGTATTGCTTAGAGTAATGACATACTCTACGCATTAAAATAATCCTCCTTCACCTTCAGCACTTCAAGCACATAATGTCAGTTCCTAAGAAGCAAGTAGGACTTCAGAGGTAGAGCTATCCATCTATCTTCGTGATAGTTTACAATATATATGGTTGGACTATTCTCTGATAAGGATTCAAAAGAGTAACAAACAAAAAAGTTTATTACCAGAAAACTCAAATTTGCTATTTTGGGGCACTGTGTTGGGATATCTTTATGTGTATCTTTAAAATCAGTGAAAAGGTTTAATATGCTTTCTGGTACATGGAGAGAAAAATCAATGCTTACCTCACTTCAATTGCTGAACTGTCCAGAGTTTCTCCATCACAATTCCAGGTGCTATTAGCAACATGACAGCAACAGGCTGGATGATCTCTGCAGAACTGGCCAAAATGTTTCTTTCCTATGTCTGTGACATTGCTTTCATTGTCTTCTGAAAGCTTTGATGTAAATTGAAAACTCTTCACCCGATGAACATCTACAAATGAGAAGTCAAACTACAAAGAAAATAATAAAACAGGCAAGTACAATTAAATACATTTGATATGTAAAGCAACACAGCATGTAGCATTTTCTGTTCAAGAAGATCTGTCTGTTCCCATTTTCTAGAGAAGCTTACCTGAGGCAGAGAGTGATTTTTATTTTTTAAAACTGCTAAAGTCAGGAGTAATAAATCAAAAACAGAACCTTACTTTTCAATGGTCCTTTTCAAGTAGCTTCAATACTGCCACTTTATAGATAATCAGGTAGCAAGTCCTGCGATTATGAGTAAATGGGTACAAAAACTATTAAAAATACCCTATAAAAACTACTATAACAAGGAATCATACAAAAAAGTTCGGCATGGATCTTTGTATCATCCTCTGGACCTGTTCAAGTACAATCCTTAAGAAGATAGGCTTTTCTGAAACCCTTCTGCTTCTACAATGCCCTGAAGGTGAGAACTCTGTGGCAATATGATCACATTACAGAGTTGGTGTACACAAAATAAGAATAAAAGGCAGTATTATTATGGTCCAACAAAATTAGAAGTAATTTTAACTAGTTAGTTTAGCTAGAAGAACTAGGACAATCAAGAAATTGCTCTAACACAGGTTGCAAGCAAATTTACACTAAAATACTGTAAAAATGCTTTTAAAGAGGCTTTTTAAATTAAAGGGATGATCAAATTAGAGTGTCCCCACCTGCACTGAAAGCAACTTAACTGATATGGACTTAAACACTTTGCAAGCTGTGATACAGATATATTATTTACCAAAGGCAATGCAATATGTCTGTGCACATCTATGGAAAGGGGATGACAAGGAAGCAAAAGTGAACAAAGAAACAGTTTATCCATAAACTTGATTGCAAAAGAGACTGGAGTTGAAGGGACCTCCTAGGTCTTAAGTTCCCTTGGCTTTTAACAATAACCAAACTATGAAGCTGTCCACCTCCATGCTTGGAAGCAGGGGTTCATGGATACAACGAGGATCACTAAGCAGTGTACTAATCCAAGAATCTTAGTTGCAAAAACTGGTATCCACAGCTGCACAAAACCACCCATGAATACTCTTATGTCTCAAGTCTAAGCAGAGTGTAATCTCTTTCTGAATGTTCAGGCCAATCTGAAAGGTAGGCTAGGGAATGCTTCCAATAACAAAAAATATCAAGGGAACATTGAGAGTGAGTGGGAAGGACTGAAGGGAAGAAGAGGAGGCTGAGAATAACAGGAAGGAGGAATACAGACTCATGCAATGTCCCAGGGAATGGTAATCAGGAAATAGAGGAAAGGGAACCAATACTAATTATTTTACAGAGGAGGAAAAAAAGCATCATAAGCAAGTGAGATTATTGCTTTTGTAACTAGATATGACATTAGTCCATTGTTTGGATAATTTTCAGAATATGTTAATAATATCAGGTTGCGACAAGTACTAAATGTGCTTATTCATAGCCATAGCTCTGGTTTCAACAGATACTACAATCCAAAGCAGTGATGAATCTTCCTTTGTATTTTATCCTGACAACTACAACATACGCAAGGAACAATTTTGAAGCCAAATGCATGAAGCTCAGTGCCTGGTGACATATATGTAGTAAAATTCTGCTTAAAGCCTGGAGTTTACAAACAAACTGCAGTTCTGGTGACTTTCTTCTAAACCACTTTTTAAATACAGTTTACAAAAAATGATTTATCTTTTGTCACTACATCTTCTACCTTAGTTATGTTATACTGCTGTGAGCAGTTTTTCATGACAAATACGTGGCGGCACAGTTGTTACAAAAATAATTTTAAATACTATCCAAACAGCATATGCTCTGGTTTTGTAGATGTTGTTTTTGTCATGTAAGAATATCAATATTTACAACTTAGACTGAGTCTGGAGAATTCACTGTCCATAGGAATACACACCTGATCATCTTGGTTTGTATGTCTGACAAGATACCGTAAAAAATCAAATCTGGAGCATTTACGAACTAAAATGAGGTCAGCTGAACCATCTGCCAAATGAGCTGCTGGTGAAAGACCTTTTGGACTTCGTGGACAGGCACAGCTCATATTTACTGCATTGATGGCTAAAAATTTCCCTTTAATAACCTTCCATTCTTCTGCATCATCTGAAACACATCAATATAGACATAGTTATTATTTGACCTACTCATAAAAACACTAAAAACAATCGTTCTTGGCAACTTGAAACTTATTACTGGGCATATTAATGCACTGTTAACATCTAAAATAAACCGCATTTAAAAAAATAGATGTGTTTTTCATATACTAACAGAGAAAGTTGCTTTTTCCCTTCACAGACTGATTATCTACTAAAACTGCTCATAATTTCTGACACATGCATGTCAAATTCAGGATCAATACTATTTGGTAAACCCACAAAGCCTTAGGCAGAGAAAAGACATGAGGCAACTTACAATCCTTGTAGTGTGAAAGTTCATGGGTTTTGAACTTTTTAAAATATTATTCTTGCTCTTCAACATGTTAAATACATAAAGACCCAAAGACAGTGGTTTAGTACTTGGTTTCTAAATTGATACTCATATTTTGCCTCAATGACACAAATCATATTTTTGAAAGAGACAAAAAGGAAAGAGATGACTCAGCATTCAGCAAGGAGCAGCAAACAGACCCCAAATGTCTGAAGATGAATACTATTAACAGAGCTGAACTTGCCTGTGCAAGTTTTTTTCTGGAAAACTATACAAAAGTCTGTTTTCAACAATGTGAAATCATTCTGTTAGAGATTAGGCCTAGACTGAACTTAAATGTGTGATGGCATCAATAGTTTCTTGGCAGAGGAATTTTCTGGAACAAAGAAATACTGGCAAGCACTGTACAGAGTTGTAATCTAAACTGTATTTCCATCAATATGGATAGATGAGAAAAATGCCTTTGCATTTTTACATTACACATAATTGCATTCCTCACTAAGAAGAGAAAAAGCCACAAAGCAGCCATAACACTCCTTTTCTCCCAATATAAGTGGCTCAGATACTTAAAATTAACAACTCCACTGAAGTAAAGTTTGCAGACTAGTCTATGGAGATATACACACATGTTCTAAGACGGGAGGTTCAGAAGTGAAGTGCCATTATTGGCAATGGGGGTAACACTAAGGAATGAACAAAACCCAACAATTTTTTTATATAAGGATGTTCAAGTTCAATCATCAAATCACAGCAAGGTAGAGGTTCTATGGGATAATAAATAGTAGGGAGTTAGAAAGCTAACTTTATTCAGTTCCCCACCTTTGGGTTAACTTACAGTTATTTTCAAGGTGCTTCTTTGATGGAACTATAGATGACATTTATGCTATATATTTGATATCTTGAAATTCTGATATTCTTTCCTGTCTTAATTTTAGGAACTTCACATTCACTTTAAAGAATCACTGTTATAATTTTTTAAGTAATTTTGGACCTGAAGCTTACGATGCATTCATTTGAATTGACCTCTGCCAAGCTTTATGTATCAGAAAAAACAATAAGGGAAAACTGTTCGTGTAGTTGTTCTTTGAACTTTTCCCCCTGCCTTTGATTTTTATTCATTGGAACTTCTTACTATCCACTCTTTAGAAACAGAACCAAGAAAAACAAAATTCCAAGAAAAATAGAGTAGGATTGTAATGTGACAAAAGACATTAAGGAAACTAGAAACTTTCTTTTCCATCTAGACTACCCTCTCTATCTCCTGATAAACAAATCAGTAACAATAAGAAAAAATGCAGCTCTTAAATTCAACATTTTGCATCCCTTGCCAGAATGGTTTTAAAATTCCTTACTTCATTGTTGATTTTTTTATGTTACTTACAAACAGAACATGACAAAAAGAAATAATTCAAATCAGATCAGAAAATGTGTATCTTAAGAGAGATGAGAGAGACTTGAATGTCAAGCTACAGAATGACTTTGCTCATGCTGCAGGGAAATGACGAGGTCCTGCTCTGAGATGAAGGTAACTGAATGCAACATAAAAAACTACTGGAACTGGAAACATCTGTCCCCTGATGTATCTGAATGCTTATTGTCAAGAAAATCAGGCTTTTTCTGATACACAAACAACAAAATGAAAACAACACACCTTACCGATAAATCCTTTTGTTGTTTATTTGAGAAGCATTCATAATTTTGTTTATAGCGTGTCAAACTATGTGTTAACTTTTAAAGTATGATCACTGTAATAAATAAGCCTCAAATTACTTAAGGGAGAATTTTTACATATGTTACTGTAATAGACTGTTTTCACCTGGTGGAAAAGTACCATTCAGCATAAATTTAAGCATGCTACTAAAAAAAAGTTTCAAAGTAAGTACAAAGCCAGGGTATTTATCACATTTTAAAAGACTGTTTTCATAACCATTCTTCAGGGTGCATCTCTGTAATAGCACAAACTATTTGCCAAAAAAATTTTTCATACAAAAGAGCAATTACCAGCAGGGAGAGCATAAACTCATTTCAGTTGTCTATTGTGTATATGTACTGCAAGTTGCTGAAATCAGCATGAAGTAAATACTCAAAGTTTTCTCAGTCCATGCACAACACAAAGAAATACCTTCAGTGACAGCCAATGCAACATCCTTCTAAAGTTAGCTGAATTGGTACACAAAACAAGTAGGCACAATGAAAGAGTCAGCCAATAAACCCTGCTGACTAAAAATCTTATCTGAGGGGGTGATTTAAAATCCTTTTTATTGCAAATCAAGAGTAGCCAATTGTTACTTTTTTGCTTACCACTACTGCAATGAGAAGAGATTGGACTGCAAAACAAGCCAGATACCAGAAGTCAAATGCATTTAAGTAAACAATGTTCTACATATTTAGCTGCTTAATATCCTGTGCAATGCTGGCTAAAGAAGTCTTGATTGCTCACTAACCTGTAGCTTTATTCTGCCTTTGCTTATTTGTTGAATCAAAGCTAACAAAATTTAAGATTTAGTTTTTAGATTTAAAAACAAACAAACCAAAAATAAACTAATATTGCCCACAACTGAAAAAAACCCCAAAACAAAAACTCCTGATCTATAACCAAAAGAAAAACGATTGGCAATTTCTAACTAGCGTTATTTCTCAAATGTGTCTCAAAAATATGAAGTAATTTCTTTAGCTGAATCTGGGCATAAATTAAAACAACTCAAGAAATACTCCAATCTGGCCATCTGTTGACTAGATCCATGATCTGAAAGCAGTAGCTGGGATGAAAGAACGATATATAAGCATGTGTAACAGGAATTCAAATTGGCATAGAAATCTGTACACAGCCTTTATGCTACATACCAGTCTCTGTAGGATAATGATGATGATAATCTTTTTGCTAACAAGTGTCTGGAACATGGCACACTGTACAAAATATCTCTAAGATAATCTAGGTCATAAAGACCAATGTTTGTGTCAAGAATGTTACCTTTTTAGGCGCTGGGATTTACAAGAAAAGAAAAGGAGAGTAAAAGCAGCAGCAAGCACCCACGAGAAGGCTGCCTGCTGTTCAAAAGGGATTTAAATCCAAAATGAAGAACTGAGACCAGAGGCAAAACTTTGCCAAGTGCATCTGCGTATTTTACTACAGCAAGGCCACAAGTGTATCAAAACCAGTATTCCCCCTTAGGATGCAGGAGTCAAGACTTGGGTACAACTAGGAGGATGACTGCACAGAATCCAGTATGTTAACTGTTGTTTTTAAAAAGGAAGGAAAAGTTATGGCCATATGAAAATCCATGGAAGGGTGCACAGGGGTTGGAATGGGGTGGGTGGAGAGAGTAAAGATAGCATGATTTGAGAATGAGGAGAAAAATATCACTTATTATTTATACTGAATATTGGTGGGGTATTGTACAGAAATACTTAAGTCCAGTAGCCTGGTTATTAGACATCCAAGTTCACTGCTTCATATTTATTTAATACACAGCTTTATATAGGATGACTTCTGTGCTAACAATTTTTTAATCCTGATCTAGTCTAAAAGTTATCTTAAACTTATCAGTTAAGTCCTTCTCACAAAAATAATAGAATTCTAGTTCACAGAATGTATCTTTCCTAAACAAAAGAAACTCAACACATCTAAATAAACAAGTAATGAGTATAATTTTACCAGAATTTTGTGGGGTTTGGGTAGAGGAACCACTTTATTTATTTTTAACATATTTACATGTATTTCCCTTAATCTTAAAGAAACAATGAATTATCTAGTGACTCTCAAAGTTTAAAAAAAGACCCCACCAAAGCACACATATGCTGCAACTGATGTATTCTGAAATTTTTTTTTATAATACTATGCCATCTTACTTTTTATGACAAATTACCTTCATGTTTTAATCCGCGATCCCTTTGCTGTTCTGCCAGCCGCTGCTCACTTTTCTTGCAAATATAACATCTGAAAACAAGAATACTGTTTAGCTCCTGAAAAAAAACACTTACTCAGTTCAACTTTTTTGTTTTACCTAATCATTACAAGACCCTCCACCACAACAAGATGCAGCATGTTACTGACCACCCTGATATGGCATGAATCATGGCAGCCCTGCATGAAGTATAGCTACTTTGGTACAGTGCTGAAGATTACTGATGTCAGAAATAACTGCATCACAGAGCTTTAAGATCACATTGGTTGGAAGGGACCTCTGATGTGGTCCAAATCTCTGCTTAAAGCAGGTCTTATAAGATTTGGATATCTAGAGCCTTGTTCAATCAAGTTTTTAATATATGTAAGGATAGAATCCACAATACCTCTGGGCAAACTGTTCCAGCATTTAACTGCTGTAACAGTGAAAGACATCGACAAACTGGAGCCAGTCCTTTATCTCACAAGTGCTAAGTACAGGGGAAGAATCACTTCTCGTGACTGTTGGTTTCTCTTTCACTTAGAAAGCCCAATATCGAGTTAGGGACTTCCTTGCTGCAAGGACACACTGCTGACTCAGGTAAAGCTGCACCAGGAACCCAATTTTTTTTTTTCAGCAGAGCTGCCTTCTAGACAGTCAGTGCTGTTGCATGGAACTATTCCACCCCAGGTGAATTACTTTTGCCCTTCCTGAACTTCAGGAGGCTTATATCAGGCATTTCTTCAGCCCACCAGCTGAACAGCAGCCTGAACTTTCAACATGTAAGCTGTTCCTCACAACCTGGTATCATTCACAAAACTGCTGGGAGTACACTCTCTGTCACCATCCCAGTAATTAATAAAGGTGTACTATTAGTATTAGCCCCAGTATTGATCCCCAAAGGGTACCACTAGTAATTGACTGCCAGCTGGACTTAGTACTCATAAGCTTTCCAGGCAGTCTAACCAAGTTTTCCACCCATCCTCTTAATGTAGTACACACCTCTGGTGTTTGTCCGTCATCTGTAGGCCTGGAGACACTGTATGACTTGAGAGCAGACTACAACAGTAAAAACTGGGGCAAAAGAGGAATTTTCCAGCCTTTTTCGTATCTTTTATCACTAGTGCCTCCTACCCCCCATACCACTAAGAAGCAGGCCTACAGTTCTTTAGCCTTTTGTTATGATTGGTATACTCACATAATCCCTTTGTAGTAAGTAACACTGATCACATTCCTCACTGACTTCAACTCTACCTGAGCTTTGGCTTTCTTAGTTCCATGGCATGTTTAGGCAATGTCTTTGTGTTCCTCCAAAGTAACCCATTCCACTTCCACCTTCTGTTTTCTTGTAACTGGGTACTGTGCTGCTATACTTTGCTTTGTTTAAAACTGGGAGGAGGCGGGGGAGAAGGAGGGGTACATGCTAACAAAATGTTACTACTTTTTTATTCACGGACCTGATAAAATGAGTTCTCTCTTTAATAAATCAATAAACATTTTTTAAAGCTTGTCTTTTCCAGAATAAGTGTTTTGATGTAAAAAAGCAACATTACTGCCACTTCTATTTATGTACAGGCCTTTTCAAATAGTTCATGTCAAATATCTAGAGATAAACATTAACCTACCCTGCTCTGCAGCCTTCTTTATCTCGTGGAGATCCAAGTGCATGTGTTGCTGGTTGAAAAGAAATTGTTCCTTCATAGCAATGATGAGAAAGAAAAGTCTTGAAGCCTACATAAAAAATATTAAGCAGCATTAAAGCATTATAAATCCACACTGCAAACAACTCTACATACATCCCTCTTTCCTTCTCTAAGGACTGCACAACAATAGTTGCTTTCCTCAAGCTTATAGCTCTTTGGGTTATGTTTTAGACTAAGGAACAAGGAAATAACCCTGCCCCCACTCCAACTTTTTAATATTTCCCAATAGCGCCATTACTTTGTTTGACATCTTTAAGAGCCAACTAAAATTTTAGCTGTACCTCACAGTGATTCTTAAAATTAGCCTACACT